CATCAGCATCCTCTCCGGCTGCCATCCTCCCGATCATCGCAGGATGGCTTCCCTTGCAGATGGGGGATGCTCACTGGTACAATGGACTGTGAGGCTGGGGGTTGTTGCCACACATGGTGGATCCGTAGGCACCCGAGGGGCTGATGATTGCCGGACCTGTCAGCTGTGCCCATGGTTTGAATATCTGCTACGTCCAGTAGCAACAAGCTGTCCACTTTTCTCTGAAGCCTAGTGAGATAGACGACTTTAAACTGAAGCTACAAGTCAGCTAGCAAGTGGTGGGGTTAAGGTTATGCTGAGTTGAAGGTTAAATCCATGTCTGCAGTGCTCCTGTTGGAGCTCTTCTTTGCTGAGTGTCCTCTGGATACAAGTTGGTTTTTAAGTGTGTGTGTCTGTGTGTGCACACATGTATTTCTAATGTGCCCACACATGCTCCCAACAGTTTTTTGTAAATGAAAAGATAAATCATTATCAAAGCGAAAATGTTTAAGGTGCTTGAGTAAATCTCAAGTTTTATTCTTAGTAGATGGCTTCCTTTCTTTCCATTACCTCTTTTCTCCTAAATAATTAAAACATATGCAGATTATTTTCTATTTTTTGTGACTCTCCTTGTTTTCACCGGTGAATACTTTGGTGGAGGTAACTGTTGCTTTCCCATTCTTCTAGTCTGTTCTTTTCATTTATTTTTCCCTTCTTGGAGTTAGTCTGATAGGGGAGAAAGCATAGCTGACTGATATAGCTTTGAAAACATCAAGTAAAACAAATCTAGTTAACTGAGTTGAACTTGACTGCTTGAAAGAAGTTTGAAAAAGATTTTAAAGACCTGTTGATCTGAGCAGAAGGGACTCAGGGAGCTGTAATGCTGTAAGCCAACCTCTGGGATCACCTTCAAGTTGACATCCATCAGCATTTGTAGTGCTGACTGAACCCTGCTCCTTTTAAAGATTTAGGAGCCATAATCCCCCGGCTAGATCAGATGGTAAAGCAGATATTAGAGGTAGATTTTTAAATGAGTGTTTGGGGGATTTCACTGCATCAGAGTTTTGCAGGGGAGTTGAATGCTCAGTGAAAAGCCATTGCTTGTATTGCACTGAGCATTCAGTCCTTTCTAGCAAATATTCTCCATTTGAGAGTCGAAAAGTGTTTTGTTTTCTCCTTTAAACCCTCTGTTGACACACCTTCCGGAGAAGGGGCTTACTGAGAAATCAGACAGGTGTTGCCTGATGGTAGCTGGCTTGTGTATATTGTGATACTGAATTACCAGTCAGGGTGCCAAAAGTGGGTAATACAGTATGTCTGCACAGGCAGGTGGGGAGAGCAGAGCTGCAGGCGCTGGAATGTTTTCATCTTTCCTTTTAAAACATAATCTTAAGCAAAAAGCTAAATTCACAACAGGCAGCACTTGAACCCCAAAGAAAAGTCTGAGCTAAAAGCTCTTTCCTCTCCCTCTTGAACAGAGGACACGTTGCCAGAGTCAACTCTTTTGTTTTAAAGGACTTTCAGGTCTCTGTCTGGTGGAAGTGGTGTTTGCACTCCTCAGGCTGTTGGCACAACTTCTGTTCCTGCTGCTAGATAATGACTATTGTTGTCTTGTTAACTGATAGGCTTGTTTGTTGGATCAAGCTCATTTTTTATATTTGCACTCCGAATTAATTTAGTTTTCCTACTTAGGTGTGTTGATTAATAATCATGCTTTGGATTTCTGGGAATTACTCGTCTCATGATCTTACCCCTCACACATGAAAACAGTGGCAGGGGGACACCTCCTGCAAGGTGGGGTGGTTTGGGACCACTGAGGAGCAGCAAGATGGGCTGATCCTTGCTTGCAGGCACTATCTGAATGCACAGACAGCTTCTGCCTTGGGATTTTTTTCTGAAGCGCATTTGCTTTGAAATCTATCTACAATATCCTGTCTTGCTCTGTGGATATAGCGATTATCACTGATCCAGTACGAAGTCATCATGACCTAGTTGTTTGCATCTATTTGTGCCAGTAAGTGGCTGTGTGCATCAGGTTACCCATGGTTGCAGCAAAGTTGGCAGGGTGGGAAACTCGAGCCCCTTACTGTCTGACAGCAGGTACCTCGTGGACAGATTTACACCAGTGTTAAATGACCGTCCGTTCAGTGATTACACGCTTGCAGGTGGCTGTGCCTGGGGTAGTTGTGAAATCATGGCTCTATGCCATGTCTTCAAGCCCTGTGCAGTGCCTGTGAGGCTTGAACTCCTTGCAGTCGGGTGACAGAAGTGGCTCAGCCCTCCTACTGTCTTGTTTGCCTCTGCTGGGTACTGCTGCTTGCATCCCCATGCCCTGACCATGTCCTGAAGCAGAGGTGAGGCTCCTGCTTAGCCTCCTTTTCTGACATGCCAAATTCAAGGTGTTGGCCAGAACCTACAGCTCTTTAGTTTACCCTGTGTTTTGGGAGCATATATACATGTATATATATTTCTTTGTTCGACAGGCTTGTTCATTAGCTCTTGGCTGTTTGCTTTCTGTGAAATTAAACTGCAGGTCTAATGCCTCCCTTGGTGTTTGTAGCCAAAGGGACCTGACAGTAGGGGTGCCAAGGGGTAGATGAGGAGCAGATCCCTTTCTCTGCTGACAGAGGGGCCATGCTGTTTCATCAGGAGCTTCAGTATTCATGCTGGTGTGGGGTACCTCACTGTCCTTCTGAAAGCAGTGATTTCCCCCCCTCCCCCCCCTTTCTTGTAACCCCAGCTTTCTGTCTTTGAAGATATTATACATAAAATTACAGTCAACACCACTAGTCCTACCCGGTGACTGAGGGGTGTGTATCTCCTTCCATTTGTTCAATTCTCTGGATGCCTGCAGACACTGGACACGTTGGCTCCTGGCGTGTGCTGTGCCCTCCATGCACCACTGCTGTTCCATATTTGTGCTTTCATTTCAGCCCATCACCTTTGGGTGCCCAATTTCTTTACACTTCAGTGATGTTAAGGCATCCAAGTGATTAGTTGCCTTTTTGAGATTTTTGAGGCTTTCTGTCCTTGAAGCCTTCACAATGCTATGAGCAAACTGATGTATTGAAGGAAACAATTCTCTACATATTTTCTTCCTCTTTCACATATAAGTGATTCTTCTTCTACCTCTTGAGATGAAAAGACAAGATGGTGAGCTCACTCTTACCTTCAGTAAGGAATTGCTTTTTAATTAAAAAACAATAAGGAATTTCAGGTTTAAAAGATGTATGATATAAATCACCATCTAGATCTGTTTCGCAACTTTTTTTTGTAATTGTTTGGCATGTTCCCTGTTTCCGCGGGCTGGGTAAATCCTTTGTGGGTTTAATCTCTAGCCTGCAGGCACATATAATACATTGCACAATTTGGCCTTTGCATTTTAAAGAAATCTTTTTTTGTAGCTTAAATACATGTAGCATCTTCTCTGCCACATGGCAGGATGGTGTTGAGTGAGGAGGGAAGAGACTGGCTTATATTTAATCCCCCTCTCCTACCCAGTGTCTCTCCCAAGTTTGGTTTTTCCTGTGTTAGCCATGTGTACACCACTTTGAAATGCAAATAATCCCTGAATATAGCTAACTAATCCTTTTGCTGCCACGTCATCCGCCACCCACCCATGCACACGCTGGCTCTTCCCATCCCAGTGGGGTGGATGGCCCAGTCGTGCTCTTGACCAGTATGAACCTGTTGCTGCTCTGTTTGGACAGTTGGGAAAGGGGCTGTATTGGCCCATGGCTGCTAGACACGTTTTTTTGGGGAAAAAAACCCCAAAACCACCCTGGGGCTTTCACTTTTCTTTCTCTGCAAGAATTGAAGACATGGAAATGGGGAAATGCCAGCAATTCCTGTGAGTTACATTGTTAGAGTTACTGGGAAAGCTCTGCACTCCTCAGTGTCTGAGCACCAGGAGAAAATGGAATACCTCTGGAGTGGGGTACTGAAAAAAAATGCCATACTTTGGAACAACCTTGTACAGCAGGGAAGACCGGAGTGTCTCCTTCATGGGAGACATCCAGGAAAATGGGTTCAGGTTATGCAGTACTGAACCAATTAAGAGCTCCCTTGCAATTCTCCCTGGTAAAGCATGTGCCTTTATTTCATTGAGGGGTTTTGAAAAGAAACCAACAACCTCAGCCTTGATGTGTTGCTGAGTAAAGGTTTCCAGATGTGAACACACTTCAGGAAAATGCTGCATCGGTGTTACTGTTTTAGTGGAGAACATCTTAAGAGAAACCTAATATGATCCAAAAGAGCACAGTGAACAGTGTTTCAGATGTTCATTGCATGGACACAGCCTCCCTTATGGAGCCAGATGCAGAGTTTTGCTCTAGGTCTCACTATTGACCTGGTTTCTGGATTGTTCAACTCTTCTGGTCTTTGAATATTTGAAAAAAAAAACCAAACCTGTTTTTTGAATGTAATGCTTTGAGTTTAGAAGTGAGGAGATTGCTACAGAGGTGCTCAGTAGATGTATGAAATGCTTTTAAAAGATAACTGTAATGTCAGATTTGATACAACTCTCAAATCGGTCAGTCTTGCTTTCAAGTACTCTTCAGTCCCAAGGTTCATGTTTTTATTTCATCTCTCTGCAAAAGTAGAAGCGTTTCTTAGAAAGCAGGGTGAAACGCTTTACGTGTGTGGTTTCCAGTGCTTCCAGGATTACAGGGTCCTGTGAAAAGAGTAGCATCTGTTTTGTTAGGTAGGTAATGGATGTCCCTTGGAAGAGAAGAGGTGTGCCCAAGAGAAATAAAGACTGTATGTGTTTGTGTAAAGGAAGTGCTCTTTATCTGAAGTTTTTGCCTTTGGGAAAACTAGGATGTAGATTTATGCTCTGCTGCTTTAAAACAGGTAAAGGTTTAGGGGTTTTGTCACTTGTCTGGAAGTGTGGCTGTTGTGCAAACAAGTGCAATGCAATGCATTGGTGCTTTCAGTTACATGTGCAAACCCATCTCCATCCTTCTGGTGTGCCTCCATCTCTAGCTGACCTTCCTGACTCTCTTGGTCTTTTCACCTTTCAGTATTCCACCGAACTGAAAAAGCTGTACTGCCAGATTGCCAAGACATGTCCCATCCAGATCAAAGTGATGACCCCACCACCTCAGGGAGCTGTCATCAGGGCTATGCCAGTCTACAAGAAAGCTGAACATGTCACTGAAGTGGTCAAACGCTGCCCGAACCACGAGCTGAGCCGGGAGTTCAACGAGGGTAAGGAGGGCAGTGCTTTGCTGGCTGCTGACTGGCCAGGGCAGGGATTTGACAGCAGCTTCAGAGCAAACCTTCTGGAAGCAGACCTCTGTCCCTCTTGTGCAGCTTTTTATTTCCCATGCTTAGCAGGAAGCGTCATACAATACTTTAGCTGTCCCTGTGCAAGCATGTCCTTGGGAAGAAAGTACTGAAATAAACCCCACGCCTGCCCAGGTTGGATGGATGTCTGTCCCCATGGCAGGCAGTGTCCCTCTGGCAGCCTTTCCCTGCTCTGCTTTTGCCCCTGCAATGAGAAGCAGCTGTTCTTGTGCTCAGGAATGAGCTTCCATGTCGCTGGGACAGGGATCTAGTAACAGGATGCAATATCATCTCCAGTCCTTAATCCGTGCCTCAAAGACAGAGGGGCTGTTTATCTCTAGCAGGACAACACAAAGTGCCAGCATCAACTGTAGGTAACCTTCCTGTACACTCACCACTATTGGGTCAGTATTAATGTTATAATCTTTTAGTTACTTCTCCTCATGTTAGTGAAGTAGCAGCTGCTTTTAAAATGCCCTGGGGTTTTCTGCAAACTCATGGGCTGGGTTCCATTTTGCCTTGGCCACTTAAGTTCACATAAGTTCAGATGAGCATCTGTTTTATTCTACGTGCATAATTTATCTCCTACTGTAAAAAAACCCAGTTGGTGTCAGTTATCAGGATGTCTTAGGAGCCTGGATCCCGTTGCTGGTTACAGAGCAGTCAGCTAGATGAGCCCCAAAAATAAGCAAGGACTTGTGAGTGTAAAATCAATGAGACAGTTCTTCAAGACAATTTTTCATATTAGAAAGTGCTTTTCTAACAGAACTGGATTTTTTGAGTGTTGATACCTTTCAATAATGGAGTTTTAAGAAAGAAAATATTAAAACTATAAATTCTTATTCTGAAATAGTTATTGTCTAGAAATAGGCTGTATTTTGAGTAAGAAACAAGTAGTTAATACACAAAAAAAATTCTTGAGATGAACCCATAGCAGGCTTCTTTCCTCAGAATTTAGTTGTCTGTTGTAGAAACACTGAAGAAAACTTCTAGAAAGGAAACTTTTAATTATTGGAAAGTGGCCTAGGAACCAAGAAGATCATGTTGCCTTCTGCTGCTGTAGGCAAGCAAGATTTTTCAAGCTGACTGTTAATTAAATGCATATTTCTCTTGCTGCTTGAATCCTTTTTAGCTCCTTAGGATCATGACTGATGAGAGGGAGCAGAAGAGGGCTAGCAATTGATGGGGGAAAGAGTAGAAATTGAAACTTGAAGGATTTTGCTTTGTGTATGCACTAGAGGGAGGAAGAGAAAGGCTTTCAGCTGATGTGAAAATCCATACAAATTCTGTGCTGGAAGAGCTGCTGTTGACATTTGGGCTCACTTAGTCTGGGATCTTGGGAGGCACTTGTTCAAGTTTAGTCACTGGTGCCCAGAGTAAGCTTGAGAAAGTCCATGTTGCCTCTGATGTCTGGCATAAGGGATCTTGGGAAGGGATGCTTTAAGGGCTGGGAGGCACGTGCATGCTCCGATAGACCTCTGGGGCCAGGAGTTCCCTTTAGGGAACTCCCTGCACGTGACCTTGCTTCACTGAACAGTGTCTCTTGGTTTTTTTTTCCTCCTTACCCTTGCAGGGCAGATTGCACCTCCCAGCCACCTGATCAGGGTGGAAGGGAACAGCCATGCCCAGTATGTAGAAGACCCCATCACCGGCAGGCAGAGTGTGCTGGTCCCCTATGAGCCACCCCAGGTACGTTGTGAGCTCAGGGTGGTGGTGTCCTGGTACATGAAGGGGTGGGGATTGCAACCCTAGTCAGAGGAGTTGGGATCTTGTGCTTTCCCCATTCTCATTTCAATGAATCCCTTCTTCCTCTTTGTCAGAAATGAGCTATTAAACACCCTCTTTATCCCTTGAGGGCAGGAATTCTTCATTTCCTTTAAGGAAGCCTTGTAGTGGGGGCCTTTTTCATGCTAGTACGATTGCAGCTTGGGAAATAAAAGAGGACAGCTTGGAAAAAGCAGAGCTTTCCATCCACCATCTCTTGTGCTCATCCCCTTTGTCTCATCCAGGTTGGTACTGAGTTCACCACAGTCTTGTACAACTTCATGTGTAACAGTAGCTGCGTTGGAGGGATGAACCGTCGCCCAATCCTTATCATTGTGACTCTGGAAACAAGAGAGTAAGTAGTGTATCCTGTGGGTAAACCTTTGCTGGAAAGGTGGCCTTCTGGCTCGTCTTCCACTCAGGGCAACATTCCATATTCTTAGGAACAGTTTGATTCAAGGGGCTGTGGGATATTTTTTTAGATTTTTGCAGGTGGGAGTTGCCCAACTCCTTGGAAATCCTGACTGGGAAATGGGAGGTTTGGGTCCGTCTGCATAGTCTGGTATGAAGCTGAGGGGTGCTACTGGCCTGCATCCAAGATGCCAGCTGATGTTTCTTCTCACCTCTCTTCCCAGTGGGCAAGTCTTGGGCCGCCGGTGTTTCGAAGCCCGTATTTGCGCTTGCCCAGGCAGAGACCGCAAAGCAGACGAGGACAGCATCCGCAAGCAGCAAGTCTCTGACAGCACAAAGAATGGTGATGGTACGAAGCGCCGTAAGTAGCTGGCAGAGCTGGGCAGATGGCAAATTGTGCTGTCACTGGGTGCGGTGCGTCCCCAGTGCTTGTGCTGCAGGGACAGGGTGGTGCTGTGCATGGGCTTGGGGGCAGGAGGACGTCAAATGTCTGTTCTCCCGGGGTGAATCAGCCTAAAAAAGGAGCTGGTGTTCGCAATACAGTGTTTGACAAACTGGGTTTGTGAGGTCTCTTACAGCACTGCCGGTGGTGGCTGTGGGGCTGTTTATTTGTCACTTTCCAATTACATGCCTGGAACTCAAACAGCTTTTTGAACCTTTACTTCTTGTTTGAGGCTGTGCTGTTATTCTCTGCTTCATCCAGCCAGAGGCTTGTGCTGTGGCATGCCTTCCAGCCACAGGGATCTAGATTAAGGCTGCACATAAACCCTGCTGTGCATCAGAGGTGCTCGGGTGAGCAACCTCTCTGTGCTCTAAAGAGTGCAAAGTACTCATCAGACATGCAGGACGTGGAAATTCAGCTTTGGTTTCCCATGTACACCCAGTGATGGCACAAGGCTGAACAGCAAGGCAGCATGTTTTAATAGGAGGCATATTGGAGTATGGCTTTCTTTTCTCAGTGAATATTGAATGTTCCCTGTCTGTTATCTTGCCTTTGCGGATCAGTGATTCACCAACAGCTCATGAGCACTGTAATACCAAAACTCACAGCCTTTAGAGGAAAGTTCTAAACATGGCTTGCTGGGGGTTTGTCATATATCCAGCACTCTTTGGCTGATGTGTTTCTCCAAATGGTATGGTCAGCCAACATCTGCCTTATTGATCCAGGAGAGCTTGCAAGCACAGTTCTGGACTGGCTCAGGCAGAGATCCTTTCAGAGCACTACAAATCTAAGCTGACCATGCACTCCATGTCTCTTTTGTATCTCTTTTTGCCTTCTTTGTCATACCCTCCTTCCCCTCCTCTTTTTTTTCTTTTTTTTTTAATGGGATGATTTTGGGGTTTCTCTTCCAGCGTTTCGACAAGGAACTCACGGCATACAGATGACATCTATCAAAAAGAGACGTTCCCCAGATGATGAGCTCTTATACTTGCCAGTGAGTTCTCTCTATCTTTGCGTTTACCCTGTGTTTAATATCTTTCTTGGTGACTTGAGGCTCAGCTAGACTTCAGAGAGGACTGATGATGGGGCTGGGGCTAGAAGAATAGTTTCTGGGTTTTTCTAATCCCAAGAGCTACCTATTTTAAGTACATATTGCAAATTAAAAAATATTAAAAGTCTCTTTAGCTGATGACTAAGAGTGGCTTGTGTGAGACATACGAGAATATCCCAAGGGCTGTCACTAAGGAGTATAGATGCAGTCCTTTAAAGCTTTTTTTCCCCCACCACCTTTGCTTTTCCCATGATGCAGGTGAGGGGACGGGAGACGTATGAAATGCTACTAAAGATCAAAGAGTCCCTGGAGCTGATGCAGTACCTTCCCCAGCACACGATTGAGACCTACCGGCAGCAGCAGCAGCAGCAGCACCAGCACTTGCTCCAGAAGCAGTGAGTATGAGAGTGCTTGCAGTGGTCAGTGCAGTGGGGACAGTGAGGAAGGGGGAGAGAGGAGAGAGACACAGAAGGCTTCTGCACTGCTTTTCATAAGGAGATGGTGCTCAAATGAGGGCCAAGCAATGGGGCAAAGGAGTCCTCCTTCCCCAAGCACATGTCCTGACTGCTTGAAAGGTCCCTCTTTAGTCTCTTGTCCCACACATTTCACCTTTTGGCCTCACAGGGTGAAAGAGGACAGACTTAGTTCCTTGTTTCTGACTTCCAGCTAGAACCTGAGGGGCAGCACAGAAAGGCAGAGCCATTGACAGCCTGGGGTGAGAAACCTGCTGCATGTGCCTGCCCCAGCTGGGGAGCACAGGCTGGGTGCACTGCTCTCGTCTGCTCCAGGGGAATGGCAACAAACATGGAGCCATCTCCCTTTCTTCTCCAGAGAAGCATCCACTGATCCACTTCCAGCATTTCCACTGAGCATCTTACCACAGTGTGTAGAGCTGGGACTGTGAGCACTGACTCAGCTGAGTGCTTGGACCTGACTGCTATGCATCTCTGGTGTGTTGGAGGGCTGATGTCTCGATGGGACAGCAATACTTTAGATTGCTCAGCTATAAAACAGGGAGCTGAAAGTCGAGAACGAGGTTGAAACATGTGAGATTTCCTTTGTGACCTGTGGACACTTCAAAGAAAGACTCTACACGTACACTTTTAAACTGTTGTCAAAAACTATACTTTGCCAACTGACTCTCCATGTTGCTTATGAGAAATTTCCCATCTGGGCAGGTATAGGCCCTTTCTGAACTCAGCTGACGGGGCTGCACTGGCATTGCTTTGGGTGGTGTAAGTGCCAGGAGGTCGGGGGAGAAGAAGGGCCAAATAAGTGTCTGGTTTCCATATTCCTCTCAGTTCCCAGAGCTTTGCAGTTACAGAGGCCGGGTCAGAGAATGACTTCCCAGACTTCCCAGCAGTGTTGTTCATGAGCATTGCTTCACCTGCTGTCTCGGGTGACACAGAATAGCTGCCCAGACTGTAGGTGGCTGCCAGCGGTAGTGCTTCGGAACTCACGCGTTCCTGCCGGAGAGCTCTCGCGTCAAGAGGCTGTGGGTATAACTCATTCCCCTGCAGAGGTTAGCACGAGGCCAAGGCACCACATAAGTCCCACTTGAGCCTGTAGGGATTTATTTCAGTGCCTTGGCCTTGTCTCAGGACTTCTGCAATACCGCAGCTTTCAGCCAGCTCTCCGCGTGTGTTCGCATTTCGGCCTGTGTGTTTTTAGTGTCAGCTGGAGTCTCGCGGAGGTGTGAAAAAAGCCTTGTGCCAAAATGGCTGGAGCATCCAGGGCCTCTGGACTCTTTTTTGGGGGGGCACTTAAAAATCTCATTATCATTAGTTACTTTTATCAGTCATCTACACTGTTTGTATATACTATAGCTTGTATTTACTAGCTTCTAGGCATTGCGGCCTTCGTGTGTTCTGCTGCTCGTTTTCAAAGCTCCACCTGAACCACAGCCATTTCATCTGAGAAATGGTTTTGTAAGCAGAAATGGACAGCAGCAGATGACAGCTTTCGCTTGGTGCTGACAGTTGGCTTTACCATAATTACTGTTTTCATTCTTCCTGTATCAGGAGGATGGGTTTCTGGCAACGGAGGTTGGTATTTGTGTTACCTTTAAGACCAGCATGTAGAAGTCCAGTCATTTAATTTAATGAGATATCTTTCAGCGTGTCTCCTGGCACTCGTCCCATTATAAACTCATTTTTCTCAGTTGCTGAGTGTGCTCAAATACAAGGGAGAAAGATTAAGAGCTTTTAAGGATGCCAGGAGTGGGGAGAAAAATAACTTTTCAGTGCTTGTCCAGAGCTGCTGCAGTTGTCTCTGCCAATAGCCTGCCATCAAGCAGAATCTTCTGTGCTGAAATTCGTATTCAGGCAATAGTTTCTTAGGTGCAGTTGGGTTTTGATGCTTTTTCCTCAATAATCCAGGGTGTGGCTTAATATCTGAAGGAATTTGTTCAGGGCAAAGGGATTTTTAGGCTGAAAAGACTCCTAGATGCAATTGCACCCCAAAAAAGAATCGAGTCTGTTCTGGCCTTTCATTTTGTAAGTAGGGATGTACTTCCAAAATTCAGGCTTGGTTCACCTTAGTTCAATGCCTGTGTGAAAAGTGGAAGCTAGGAAAGTGCATATGCCATGACCAAGTTTGAGTGTGTTGGAAGCTGTAGGTCTCAGCAGGGCTCTGTGGGACTGGAATGTTTGCAAGTTGCCTTGACTGCTGTACAGTCAAACCTTGATGGAGGAATTGCTTGATTTTTTTTCAGTTTATTTTTCAGGGCAATGATTAACATAGAGAAGCTATCGAGGTGTGTGGGAAGAGTTGTCCCTTTCATTCCTACAACATGGAAAATGTCATCTTTTTTGACGAGTAGGAAAAGCAAGGTTGAGGTTATAATGGTGAAAGGTAGTTTTAAAATGATAAATCTGTCATTTTGGAAAACAACTGTATAATTGCCCTCATACACATACAGACCAGTATTGCATATGACAGGCTAGCAGATGTAGCTGGAATGTTCTGGAATAAAAAGGATAAATCTGGTGACAATCAGAAATCTCGTGTCCCACAAGATGACCAAAATACTGCAATGTTCCGGGTTGTGCCAAGCTACAATATTTCTCTGTCTCATCTCCTCTCTCTGCTTGCTCCTTTGTGCATGGTTTTCTCTTATTTACTGTTATGCCAAATACCTTCATGATCATCGGTGGGAAGTTGTTGGGCTTTTTTTCCTGCAGTTTCTATTCTTCCTTTTTCACTGTCTAATCTTGGGGCCCATGTTTGAACCACAGCACACATACTTATTTAGAAGATGTCCTTTTTGTGGTCTGCCACCATTTGTGTAAAACACAGATTTTCCAGATAATCACTGCTGCAAGAGATATCAGAAGTGGCGAGTGCTTTGTTGGAGAGAGAATGTTTCTTTGATATCCTGATGTGAAATACATTTATGATCAATATTCCCAGGGAGTTATCTGCACAGTCTTTAAGGGTTTCACTGGAAAACACTTTTCCATATTCAGCAAAATTTCCTGTGCTAGATTTCACTCTGAGCGCTGTTTTCAGAACAGTCTGTATTTCCATTTACTGCAGCATAGAATCATAGAATGCCTCAAGTTGGAAGGGACCCATAAGGTCCATAAGGATCACTGAGTCCAACTCCTGTGATTGGAGGGTTTTCACAAAGTCTTCCAATGGCTACTGAGAAGAGGGCTCTTATGTCCAAGTGGGATCTTGTGTCCCAGCAAGCATTTCTTTCATATCAGCAGAGCTGCAGCTACCAGCCCACTGGCTGCCTTAGTGAGTAGCACAGCTCATTATGCAAATGAGGAGGAATTAACCTCATAAGTGAGGTGTGACAGAGCTTAGTTATCCAGTGCCTGGAGTGCTCCACCTGAGCTGGGAGCTGCAAGGATCCCGGTGCTTGCTGTCTCGGGGAGGGGGCTGATGGGGAAGGTGTTCTTCATACCTCCACCTGGTTAATCTCATTTTTGGAGTGAAACCTAATAATGGATTTTTGCATGTTTTGTTTTGGTTTTGTAGTGCTGTGCTTGCATGTGAACTCCAGGCACTTGGATAGTGTTCTAACTAGAGAATTGCCAAGATGAAAGTAGCCAAGTAAAAGCGCTTTGTGGGCTCCAAAGATACAGCGCCCTCTGCATCAGCTCATGGCCCCAGGGGGGTAGTTGAGCTGTAATCAGTATGGGCAGTAGGCACCATCCTCTCTCCCTAGCAGCAGCCTCTGGTTTTGAAGTGATTTGTAGTTAGATGTGGAGTCAGTGGAAGCTGTTGCTCCTTTTCCCTTTTGGCTGAATGCTTTTGTTCCTCTTTTGTCGGTGGGAACATTATCAGGGCATTATTTGTATCCATGAGACTAGGACACAGAATCGGATTTCCATATCAACTAGTTGTTTTCCCTTCCTTGCCAAGCACTTGCTTGTGCCTGTGGCTTTCCAGCTTCCTAAATCTCCCTGTCACATACCCTCACTGTAGGTGCTAAGACATCTGCTTTTCCCCTCCTTCAAAGCCCATACTGTGATCATGAAGGTGGAAAGTGACTGTTTCTCTCTTGGTGGCTGGTGAAGGGTCCTGTACATTCATCTTTTTCTTTCTCTGATTTCTTCTTTACAGTCTCCTTTCGGCCTGCTTCAGGAATGAACTCACGGACTCAAGGAGAGACCCTCCCAAACAGACTGATGCCATCCTAAAACATTCCAGCCCCCCAAACCCATCAGTATATCCATAAACCAAGCTGGCAGAGTCACTTTGCCCAGCTGGTGGGACTAGGAACAGTGGGGCAAATACACAGCCTGATAGCAGCAGAGTGAATAGTGAGAGTAATCTTCTGAAGGGACTCAAACTTTGCAAAAACAACAGACACATCTACAGACCTCTTAGCTGTAGCCCATAGCATTGGGAGGTCAGGAACCATGTTGTCTGTCTTGGTGTAACTTTTTTCCTGTTTTTGTAATGTGTCGATACTCTTTCTTCTTACTTCTGTATTTGTGAAACTCAGCAGGGTTTCTCTGAGCAGGTCTCAATTTTAAAACGCCTTTTGTCTTGTTTAAGTTAAAAATCGTGTTCATGGCCTGGGGGGACAGAAGTGGGGGATGTGTGTTTAAATGGTCTGTGATAGTCAATTTGGCCTGTTTAATGCTGGTCATGCACTAATGGTGCAAGCAGCTGACGTATTTGTACTGCTGGACAGGGAGAGGTAATAATTATATGAATTGACACTGCTAAGAAATCACTTTTTTTTCCACTGATTTAGCATCATGAATTTTTCCCCTTGTTTTCAGCCTTAAGAAGGGTCTGATCTAAAATACATCAAAATTGTAAGGAGGACTGGGTGACTTTGACTTTGCACCAGCCCTGCTGGCCTTGATCCAGCTTTACTGAACTTAGGAAGGTCCCTTCTGAGTCTGTGGGCTCGGTCCAAGTGGTGGACTGA